TAATTTTGAATTTAGCTATGGCATTAGCTAAAGACGACTGGAAAAAAAGAACCAGAGATGCTTATTTTTTAAAAAAAATTCCTGTGTGATTCCCTGAATTTGAAATATGCAATGAAGGCTTGTTCCTAATTTAAAAGACTAGCTGGGGTCACAGAACTTATGGGAAAACCAGAAGATCCCTAACATCATATCTAGATAGCATGAACCCTTAAAGGTTGCCAGCATCCTTTTAGGAATTATTTACAAAATTCATACATTTTGTTCTTACTAAATTTCATACTTAACAAATTCATACATTTAGCCACATATATTGAGCTCCAAGTGTTTCCTAGCCACTCCATAGAGTTGTAGAGAAATGAAGCATAGTTCCTACCCTTACAGCTGTTGAAGGGGTGGGCCTGCGAACATGGGGTTGCACCAGGCATAACTCTGGGTGCTGAGGGAATGCAGAGGCTGCCAGAGAGCCCAGCTGGCTCCACATGACTCCATGAGAGTTGGGAGAAGGAAATTACTTCATCTCCTGACCTGATTCATCTTCTGTAAGATACTGGGAAACAACCACCCATTCTTCAGGGTGATGGTAAGAATTATACTAGATCAGATATGTAAGGAAGTTTGAGCGTGTGGGTACTCCATGTTTTTACTGTAATCATTGTAGATGGATTCTGTTCTCTCTCTTTGGCCTGAAATGCATGAATTTAAAAATATGAATAGAAAAAGTAAACTATTAGACCAGTTTAACTCTTATGCCAGCTATTTAAAAATGCTCGATTTAAATTATCAAGTTATCTGAACATGGAAAAGAAGAGATATGAATTAGTTTCCTATTACTGCTGTAATAAATTACCACAAAATCTGTGGCTTAAAACAATACAGATGTATTACTTTCATTTTTGTAAGTCGGAAGTCTGAAATCACTTTTACTGGGCTAAAATCAGGGTAGAGGCAGGGCTGAGTTCTTCTGGAGATCAGGGGAGAATCTCTTCCTTATTTTTTCCAGCTTCTGGAAGCTGCTTGTGTTCCTTGTCTTATCACTGCTTTACTCCAATGTCTGCCTCTAGGCCTACATAAATTTTCCTCCCTTTGATCTCCTAACTTTGTTTTGTAAGACACTTGTGATTATATTGGCCCACCTGGATTATCCAGGTTAATCATATCTCAAGATCCTTAACTTAGTCATATCTTCAAGGTTCCTATTGTCATATAAAACAACACAGGTTCTGAGTGTTAGGGTGCAATCATCTTTGGGCCATTGTTCAGCCAACTGCAAGATATAAAAATCTAAAGAGGGTATCTTTGCTTATGGGAAGACCATGACAGTTTTCACTGCCATAACACATGTTTGAGCCACTGCATATAGATGGGGCTGGCTTAGAAAGAGAAATGACTACCAGGGACATTGAAGTATTCACCTCCACCGTAGTCAAGCTGAGAAAACCAATGAGAAGTCTCAGTGGTTGGCTTTGAATTCAGGCTCCTGTCCCATCCTCACATGTATTTGATCTGTTAACTGCTATTAGACAATATTTCTCAACTTCAATAAATTTATACTGCAGCCATGTTGTGGGCAAAGTATTAACAGAATGACAGAACACTAAAAACCCTGGGTAACAGCTGAATTCAATGCAGATACTATTTGAGAACTGTTCATTTGTGCTGAGGGAAAGCTTGTGTTGACTATGATGGAGGAAGTGAAACAAACGAGGCAGAGATGTATTTGTTCTATAACACTCAAGTGCAAGACATGTCATATTGCTTTATTTTTCTAAATCAAATTCAAGCTAAGTCCCTGTACACATAGGTTAGCAAGATACCCAATGTCAGTTATGATTGGAAAGGCCTCCCCCTGCCCTTTGAAAGCTCAGTCTGGCCAGAAATCTGGGGTGAGGGCTCTGGTCTTCTTTGAGCATGCTCTACCAGACCCTGCTCACTGTCTCTTGCCCACTTGGAACATTTAACTGTGGGTGGATCTGCTGTTCAGAGCCATCATTTCCATTATGAACAACAAAATCATTGGAAAATTTTCTGTAGTACCTAAGGCCAGCTCCTATGAGTCACTTTTGTCATGTTCCACCCCACCAGGACACTGTGTTGGAAAGGAAATAGTGGTCTCTTCTGAACAAGAACCAGAACCATTTCCCCCAACTTAGAGCTTTCCAATTGTTTTCTAGTCCACCCCCCGACCTCATCACTTTGAACAAAACCCCATTTCCTTTTCAAGCCCTTGAATTCTTTTGCTCTTGGAATGTACGAGATAATATGTGTGAGGATGCTTGGCACACATAGGAATCCATGCTGTCATTATGATCATTGTTTGCCACTTTCCTTAGGAATTCAGAACAAAAACTTCTTAACTCTCCCCTGGGAGAGGGGAAATCCTCCGAAGTATGAACACAAAGTCCATCTGGATTTCTCATTTTTGTGTGATGAGCTACATGAAATTAAGGCATAGGTAATTTCTCTAGCATGTGATTCCACTAAAACAGTTAATGGCTTAAAGGTGAATTGTTCACCCTGGGCACATCTAGACTGCAAGGAGAGAATGCGTTAGTTCACTGTTCATCATTTTTTCCCCATGTCTTTGCTTTTATTCCTTCTGTAGCCACCTCCTCCTTTAAGTACACAATTCATGTCAGCTATCCTAGCAGATAACAAGGAAAATGATGTTCCCTGGTAATGTCACAGGTAACACTCAAAGATATGCACTTCAAAAGTTTAGGTTCAGCTACTTGTGACAGCAGGGTGAATAACTGTGTGATCATTTTATTAGAAGAACCTAAGAGAGAGCAGCTTCTCTTGGTGATATATCTTTTTTTTTTTTTTTTTAAATTGGCTTGAGCTCTTACCCCAAACCTGGTGGATCCACTTTAGTGATTAAAGTGAATCCACTTTCAAATGTTATAGTTTACATATTAATTCTAGGAGCTTATGATTAGGAATATTTAACTTTATTTATTCACTTTTTGTTAAAATTCTATTTACTTAAGTCAGATGAATGCATTTTTTCTTCTTCTTAGGCACTGAATGTAGATTTTGATATTTTCTGCTGAGATTTTCTTACTAGTGTGTCCAGTCTTATGGGATCCTGTCTTCTGTTGAGCTTGCCACTTTCCTGTGAAAATACCCCTGGACTATGCCCTGGTAGCTTCCTGTTTGGTTCTAAGTTATTACCTAGATTGTCATCTTTGGTTCCTCCTATTAGGAAGAACTGACACCCCCAGGTTGGTGGAGAATGAGTTAGATGCCCTGTCCTATCCTGTGATCCTGTAGCATCAGAAACAGCTAAAAATTTCTGTGAGTTTTATAGTTGCTCCGAGTTGCTTGGAATAAAATGGGGGTACCTTTTACTATAGGACTTGAAAGTGGCTTTATGGAGGTTCTTAGACCACATGAGAAGATTTTGAATCATTGAAGCATATTGTAAAAATCATGCAAATGTGAAAGAATGTCAAACTAAATGGGTACCGCTACCTTTCAGACAGTCCTGTTTCTTCTCTCTAGAATTAAAAAAAAATGACTCGAATCACTCAATAAAAGTAGTTAAGCAGAAATTATGTTAAGGAAAAGAAAAAAAGAGATAGCAGTGTTTTTGTAAAAGCCACCCTGCAACACAGATTTTTTAAAAAATAATCTTCAAAAAGTTGAGAATAGGTTTATCTAAATTCTTAGTTTATTATGACTTATTAGTACGAATATTGTGGAAAAGTTTTTAAAAGGTGGGAAATGTTGTGGCATTAATGTTGAACGAGGCAGTGAGGTATGTTGAGATTGGGCTGTTGCTTAACATTATAGCTTGCTGAATTTTGGTTTTGAATCGTGTGTGGTGTACCTTATTTAGGTAGCAGTGGGCTTCACTCCCCTCGACAAAGAAGAGGGTCTACAGCTTATCGAGTCTCCGGCTCCTCCTTGACCAGAAGTTACTGGTCTTTCTGTTTATTTACTGGTCTATTTTTACCATTTTTAAAAAACCTTTTGGAATCATCCTATGATACAGCAAAAATTTTCCTCTTTTGGTCTATTTTGAAGGGATTCAATATATACAGAAAGTATATTTTTTTCTTCTTTGACATTTGGTGGTGTTCTTTATTTTTATTTATTATTATTATTGTTATTATTATTATCTGGGTACTGGGGATTTAACCCCGGGGTGCTTTACCATTGAGCCTAATTCCTAGCCCCCATTTTTTTTTTAATTTTTAAATTTTGAGATAGAGTCTCACTAAGCTGCTTAAGGCCTACTAAGTTACTAAGGCTGGCTTTGAACTTGTGATCCTCCTGACTCAGCCTCCCAAATTGCTGGGATTACAGGCATGCCCCACCACTCCCAGCTACATTTAGTGTTTTGATGATATCTTTGACTTAAAACTTGTTACTTTTTAATTACATGCATCTAGTTTTTAATATTTTTTATTTGTGATATGGCCTGAGATGCTCTTAAGTTTCCACGTGTTCACATATGGAATCATGGTTTAAGGTGTTCCATTTTAGGATCCAACATTGTTTGACTCCCTTTCTAAGAGGTGCCAAGATGAATGTGCTCCCACTTTATCTTCCCTTCCCACTTCTCCCTACCTACTGTTACCTAAAGTGAATTTTATTACTATTTCTAAATTGCTGTGGTGTGTAACATTTATATTTTGTTCTACTCATACTTCTTATGCAACCAATGATTTCTTCATTCACCTCTAATTTTATACTATAGTAGTTCTCTTAAAGAAGATCTCAAAGTAATTATGAACCTGATTGCTTATATGTTTCATATTACTTTTTTTCCTAGAAAATAAAAACAATAATTTTATAGTACATTTAATGGCAACTGATAGTAATAAAATTTTCCTATTTTGTTTACATGTTCTTTAGACAAGTCTGCAACTTAGCATTGATTATTTGCAAATTATTCTACTAGCTATACTGTCATTTGTCAAAAGGTGGATCAAGATAACATAGAATCATAGTCATAATATGGTCATACAGAATTATCATATTATAAATCAGATTGGATTTATCACCAGCATTTATAAAACCAGACCCAGGGAAAGAACTAGGTCTGGGGACATAATGTATGGTCTTAATATAGTGAATGTTTAGCCTGTCCTGATTACTACAAAATCATATTACTTTTATATTTGAAATAATTTGTTTAATTTGTACATTCTTGGTTTTTATTTTTCCCTTCCTTGAAGACTTGATAGACATTGCTCTCTTGCCTTTTCTAGTGTTTTTTTTTTTTTTTGTAAAGTTTGAGTTCAGCCAGATTTGATTAAAAAAAATTAATTTTTTTCCGCACATTTTTTTCTTGGTGCATTAGAGTTGTACATAATCATGGGATTTGTTAACACATTTGTACATGCACACAATACACAGCATAACATAATTTGGCTCATGTCATTACCAGCAGATTTTATTCTTTTACACAGGAAAATTCTTTCTTATCCCCCACAGTTAGCTTTACCGGGTTACATGCTTGGTACTATAGGAAATTCCCCTGATAAATGTGTACATATAATCTATACATTTGATTTTTCCCTTTGTTTGGGGACAATTTTCTTTTATTTTACCTTTGAATATCTACTCTGTTATAGCTTTTAGGAATGTCAGTTATGCACCACTGGATTTCCTTTGGCTCTAACAGTAATTTTCCCTCGATACCTTAAGAATTTTTTTTAGTTCTGTGTTTTTCAGAAATGGCTTATTTTTCCCTCTGTTGAATGCCTCTAATGTAGCTTTTATTTATCTAATATTCTTATTTTTCTCTTATATATATTATTTTGACTCTGACATGTCACTTTTGATTACCTGAATTTTCTGATCTTTTCCCTTGAGTCCTATTATGTCTTGTCTGAATTCATTTCAGACGTTCATAATTAATATTCCTTTTATTTAAAGAACACATTTTGTGTGTGTGTGTGCCAGAGTTGTGTATTAATTTTTTTTGCCTGATTTGTTATAGTCTTGTGTATTTTTTTGGTCTGCTTTCTGTTTGCCATATTCTTTTCTTTAGGTTTTTGTTACTATCTTCATAGAAGCCTCAGGCTGATTCTTTTTTTCTGTTTATTACTCATTTTTAGTGCGCACTGGAATTAGCCATTTGATGATGGACAATATAGAAGGGGATTAAACAGTGCAGCAGGCAGTTTGAATGTCAGAACCTGGCTTTGGAGCACATTCTCACTAATATTTTACCCTTGGAATATAAATAAATACGGGTTCTCTCTGTCATATGCACCAGAGGTCACAGGGGTATATAGTTCCTCCCTTCCTTTTTTGGTAGGTCTTTCCCTTGCTTCTCTGCAGAGCTGCTGCTCACTGATTACACCTTTACCACCCTGATTTACCCACACAGCTCTCTTGAACAGCTGGTATAGCTGTGTGCTTTCTTACTCAGCCTGGCAATATGTTTCTCTGTGGTATGAAACAAGGCTTACTGAGGGTTGTACCAACTCCATGCTCAACCAAGTTGGCCTCTCTGGCAAAGGGTGATTCCGTTGGTCTTGCCAAATTCCCCACTGTGATAAATGTCTTACTTGGTTTACACCCTGCTGAGCTCATGCCCCTGAAGGACCCCCCCTATACTGAACAGCAGTTGTGGTTTAGCATTGTGGTTGTGTCTTCATATGTTGTGGTTTAGGGAGGTGGTTGTTTCTTAGCATATTAATTGTCCACTGTTATGTAACAAACCACTCAAAATTACTTAAATTAACCACAATTTAATACTTCGCCTAATTCTGTTGGTGGGCTGGCTGGTTTTGCTTGTCCCACCTGCAAGTTTGTTTTTATGGCTGTGGTCAGGTGGTGGCTCAACAGGAATGGCTGCATCCGAATAATATAATGCCTGTCTTCACTATCCACGTTGTCTTTCACGCTGGGTCTTCACAGCATGGTAACCTCAGTGCTCCAAGATGGAGAGCAGCTGCAAGGTTCCTGATGGCTGAGGCCAGGAGGACACATAGTATGGCTTTTGCTATATTTTGTTGGTCAAATCAAGTCAGGGGACCAGTCCAATTTCAAGGGATGGAGAAGTCACATTGTGAAAGAGTGTGAATCCATAATAGAAGGAATAACTGTGCCTTTCTTTGGGCCAAAAATCTACTACACCTTAGTTCATGTTTTGACTTACATTTCTCCGCCTTGCTTTTGTTTGGTTTCATACCAAAGGAACAGAAAAATTTACACTGTTGCCTTCAACAGGAATTCAGATTATTAATAGTTTTAAAGGCCATGAATAGTAAAAGAAAACTCAATACTGTTACACCTGCCTTCTAATGACTTAGCACCTTTTGTTTTTCATCTTTAAAGCCCATGAGATAGAACTTAAGAAGTGCCTCTACTGTGTGTAATCAGCAGCTCCCAGCCCTAGGGCAAGGATTCTGAGACCTGAAACGGAGCCTCACATTCCACACAGTACAAGGTAATGCATTTTGGACTGCAGGGCAGGAAGGCTGGCTTCTACTTTTGCTCTATTCCTAGATTTGAAATCTTAATAAAATAAGTTTACTTTAGTCTCTCATTAGTAAATTTTGGTTAAAAAAAGAGGTGGTTCTTAAACCATAAATTGACAGAAGGTCACTTGTGGGGTTTGTTGAAAATCCCATTCCTGGTCCCTTTCCCCCTTGAGACTCTGACTCAATGGGTCAATGAGAAGATCTGATTTTTTTTTTTAAGAGAGAGAGAGAGAGAGAGAGAGAGAGAGAGAGAGAGAGAGAGAGAATCATTTTTTTTTTTTTTTGTAGATGGACACAACACAATGCCTTTATTTTTATGTGGTGCTGAGAATTGAACCCGGGTCCCGCCCATGCTAGGTGAGCGCTCTACTGCTGAGCCACAATCCCAGCCTGAGAAGATCTGATTTTTAAAAGAATCACTTCAAATGACGTTGTTGCAGGTGGTCAGTTGATTATTCTGTGAGACTTTACACCACTAAAATTTCAGAATTTTCTTCCAGCTTCCAAAACTCTATTAATCATGACTGATGTATTTAAAATGTTCATTCACTGAGCCATGATTAGCTATTTAATTACCTGCATTGTTTAGAATGTCTTTAAGAATAAATACCCTAACTTGGACTCCATACTTTGAATTTGTAATTATGAAAGAAACATTGGTTTCTCAAGAAGATCATTAAAATCTGTTGATTAAAAACAATTATGTACTTTTGTGATTCTTACCTCTGTATCATACTTTAATTCTATCATGAAAAATAGAAATAAGTTAATATTACAATGAATTATAGAGACATAGGGACAATCTTTGGTGAGTTGAACAGAAGTCTTCCTCCATCATCTAATGTGTAAAAGCATCAGGTTATCCTTAGAGAAATCATTCCTCATCCCTCAAACATACCCCATGGACTTCAAAGTTGGTTCTAATTCAGTTGACAACTTAATTTTTTTCCTAGTGCAACTCTCTGTTTGGCCACTTGATGGCAGCATTTACTATGTGCTAACATTGAACTTTTTTTTTTTTTCTTTTTTCTTTTTTCTTTTTTTTCCCTCTAGGTTGTTCAGCCTCGTTTAACATTGGTGGTGGAAAAGATTGATAGCAATGCAAATGTATTTATAACCACGAGAGATAGTCACCTTCCACCCCAATTAGCCTTTGCATTGATTTACTGAGGAAAAACATCTATTACTGAAAAAGTCTTACAGATTAGTGTTGCATTATTTTGTTACAGTTGAAATATCTGCTGGAAAAGTGATCTCACAGATCTCTAACCAAAAATGTTCTTTCTCAATAATTAAAAAAACAAAAAGATATATCATTGAGAATGCAGCTCTGGTTTAGAACTATGTGCCAGTTTTTTCCCCTTAAAGCTATACACTTAGTTATTTGAATACTTTTTTTAATAATGAGCTTGTGTCACATTTTAGATCTTTAAAAAGAGATTTATTCATGAGCTGTTGCTTGGATAAAGCCATTGATCTACCCCCCAAAAAATCTCATTTCTCAATTGCTTTGTGAGAACATAATTATGATCTGAACTAAAGTCTTTTTTTTTTAATATGAAAAAGCTACTGCTTCTTGAAATACATTTTTTGCCTCCCCAAAGAATGAAGCTGCAACTGAAACATTTCCCACAGAGAAAAACCTACCAGTAATGATTCTATAAACATCCTGGCAACCACTTTCTAAGGGAGGGTTCACTAAGACGACTCCTGTTTGAGATTTACATGGAGCACAAATTGGTAGGGATTTACAAGGCGGTTACAATTTAGTGCTTTTGGCTTGAAAGAAAAGAATGTTTTTTTTTTCCTTGTTGTTGTTTGGTTTTAACCGGTCCCTCTTCTCCCCTGGCCCCTTATTTCTCTTAAAATATGATGACATTTGGAAAAGTTTGTTGGCTTTTTGTTTTTTGAGCTGTTACTGGAGAAGATTCCCCATGTTGTAATTCACCGCTATTTGAATTTAGATGTCAGAGCAAGGTTAAAGTACTCAACAGCAGGGTTGTAGAAGAGGCTCTGCTGGGGCCACCAGGCCTACACCAATGGCAAGAGAGTAGCATTGGGAAGTGTCGGACAGCAAGTTTATATAAATATCTTTGTGGATGTATATAAATATTCTGGGGAGACGATTCCAGCTCTGCTATTTTCACAGGCTCAGCTCTATTTTCCTGGGCTTTGTGTATGTTTACTTATATACAATTGTGCATTTCCTTCTGTTTATTTGAGTCTTCTGGGCCTATGTGAGGAGACTCAAGTGCCCTACACATTCTTCTTATAGCTCATTTTGTGCCAGTTTAAAAACTATTTTTATAGCAAAAGCAGTGCACATTTAATTTAGAAATCTTCAAAAATATGGATAAGTGAAGAGCAAATAAAAGCATATACCTCGCCATGCTATTGTTAAAGTCTTCTTGTATATAAGTGTATATATAAGTATATATATATCTTTTTGTATTACATATAGACACAAAATATATGTATATATAGTCTTCTCTATAAAAACACGTAGATAAAATAGAAATACAAATACAAATATATATTATAAAAATTGGAACATAATTAGTGTGTATAAGTTTTCCTAATCTACCTGAGTATAATTTCTATTGTTGTAAAATTCGCTTACATTTCTTTTCTTTTTGACAAAAGCACACTTTCATTTTTCTCATTATGAGAAACACTACCTGGCTGGGACT